CATTTATTGGAGATGACGGGCATACTATAGCCTATTGCCTTTATTGTAAGGGATATTTCTACTAAAAACTGCTAAAACTATTTCTACTTTTTCTAATAGAGACATTTCTGATCTACTGTTGTCTGGATTTACTCGAGTTACATGATATGCAAATTAGGCGATGATGTCATTTAGGGACTTCTGGCGACTTTTCGGACAGCCAATAGCTACTTTCCTTACTATGGAGTTGGCAACACTGTAGGGCAGTGCTTCTCAACCTTTTTCCAGGGTGTCCGCGGGGTCTTAAAAAGTATTAAAAGTTGATAAATCAATTTAGCTAAAATTAAGGCTATTAAAAAGTATTAAAAAGTATTAAACGGCATTTTCCAAGGTATTAAGAAGGTCCACAGCAACGACAACATGAAACACCCTTTAATTTACTGAAACGACATGTCGGGAAACCCCCCAAGGCGGCCCCATGCATAGCGCGGCGTAAAATGCTGCTTATTATTTTAAGTTTCGTTGCCTTGCTCCGCTCTGTGGGGGGGGGAACTAAACGACAACGGTAACGGGTCCCAAGGTGGGTAGACTGGCATACGCAACGCTCTGGGGGTCCAACGGCTCCGTGTGTAAGCCCTATATGATCATTTTCTGATAACGATGAAATAGCCCGCCTCCCTCTACCCACGTCTCCTGCTGCTGCTGGGCTGTCAGAAGAGGGGGAGGAAAAGAGAGGCAGTTACCGTTTATTAAATATTATTATATTATTATACAGAGAAAAGAGTCGTTATCAATTTGTTTTAAAGCTCAATAAATAACAAAGAAGACCTCTGACCGGCACTTTTCTAATTTTGTACGGAAGATTTAAACTTTAACTGACATGTTGACCGGCGGAAAAAAATTTTTACGGAAACTGCCGCACGGTCCCCTCCTTCCTTGGAAGAGGAAGTGGGTGTTTTTCATCTGCTGGTGGACTACCTGAGAGATACAGCAGGAGAACACGCCGTCCACCGCGGAGAATAAACAGAAGGGCAACCATGGCAACCATGCTCCGGGGTCTTCTTCGCTGCTTTTGGTGTATTTCGGGCGGCAGTAGCGCCACTTACAGGCGGGACATATGTACTACATCGTTTCCAGCATTTCCAGCGGTCTAGTGTGAACGGACACGTTAATGAATCGAATGCGTGTGAACGGAAGACTTTTTTGCGCTTGCGTATGCGTTTTATCGTATGCGTCCTTGTGGGGCCGGGGTCTAAGCCAAACTATATCCGGTCACAGAGATCTGCTATTTTAAAGTAAAGTCAACACATATAGACCCTAAATATAGTCTATATTAAGAACGAGAAAAGTCTTAACATATATATCCTTTTTTGTAAACATATGACAAATGTGTGAGGGTGATGAGCATCGTCCTATGTGCCAGGGCTTAGCCCCGGACAGCCCCAGCCCAATTTAACCCCTGGGTATTTGTGAGGGAGCTCCGGCATTACCCCGCTGAAGCTCACCAAAGTTTAATATATTTCATAGTTCAAAGTTTTGTCAATTGTTTTGTTTATTGGTCAAATACTGGTTTCTAATGGTTTCTGAGGAGTTTTACTGGAATGAAAGAGCACAGAGTCTACAGAAGTAAAAAGGCAGCATACTGCATTAAACCTGACCTTCACAGAGAGGTTAAAGTTCATGTGGAAAGGAGGCTTCAGTAGTCTGTCTGCACTCTCTTTAGTTTTGCTATCTTACAATCAATATAGTAAAGTGTGTTGCCAATGTAACCGGTTAGAACTCAAAGTTGCGATGAGGTCTTAAAATGTATGGAAAGGGTCTTAAAAAAGGTCTTAAAAGGTATTAAATTTGACTTCAGGATTCCTGCATATACCCTGGATATTATTTTACTTCCTTTTTATACTGACTTTCGTCTCGACAAACAGTACAGTAACAAAGTTGAACTCTTGATCCCTGGCGTCATCAGCGACAGTAAATAATCTACATACAGACAGAAGTCAAAATGTGCTCTCTTAATGAACTAATGATGTTTAAAACATGTGTTGTTTCCACAGACAGAGAGCAGAGTCTCCAGTCCCCAGCTGTCTGTCTCTGAAGAGTGACGGGTCTAAAGACTTTCCTCCAAACTTCAGTAATGAACCTGGACCCTCAGACACAAAGTAAGAGTTTCTGCTGTAACCTGACCTGAAGAGGACTCAGTTTTTATGTTATCTAACACATTAAACTGTTCTTTAATAATATCATGTGTGCAGTTTGTACAGAACAAAGGCAGTAGAGTACAGCAAGCAAACATTAGTTGAGGATATTTCAATATGCATTTATAGCATCATTGTATCAGTGGCATCAAAACGTTTTAAATGGCAAAGATATTGATAAATACTCACTAAAAACTAAATATATCGTCCCAAACATTATTTACTACTTGGGCATGTTTATGATATGTATTTTAAAGATGTTTCTTAATAATAGTGATAACCTGGTGAGCTGGTTGTGTTTAGCATTAGCAGATATAACAGAGCTTTGTGTGATTACATGTAGAGTCAATGCAAAGACCCAGATCCGTGCCTGGCAACACCAAGAAAGTGAAGATGTGAAATTCATGTCACCTGCGTATTCGTGCAGCGTGACACATTTAATCTTGAGTGAGACATTTGTGACGCTCTGCCCATTGGTGAGAATCAGCTCCACTAAAGTAAAGTGCTGTAAAGGATGTGTTCATCTCCACAGACGGAAGAGGAAAAGTGCTGTTCCTGTGGAGGAGCAGCTGTCCAGCTGTGCTCTGTGTCAGGACGTCCTGAAGGATCCAGTATCTACCAGCTGTGGACACTGGTTCTGCAGACAGTGCATCACCTCATACTGGGAGCAGAGACCTCTATCAGGAGACCCCTCATGTCCCCAGTGTGGAGAAAGATCCAGAACCAGAGCTGGCCTGCAGACAGCCAGTCAGACCAGAACTGTACGAGGTAAGAGGCCGAACACACGCAGCGTTTTATTCCTCTTCCTGGTTCCTTTGTTTTTGAATAGGTATACTGTTGTAGAGCAGAGACAGTAAGCTGTTTATACAACATTTAAACTCAGTCTGTTTGTTGTTGTTTTATTGTTATAATTAGATTCTCAGAGCATTTCCCTCATTCTCTCCTGTTTCCTTCTCTTCCAGCAGATAGTGGTCTGCAGGAGGTTCTAGATGAACATAGGCTCAGTCTGAGGAGGAGATGTGAACGTGTGACTGAAGGAACTGATCAAAGTGAAACCCTC